GCTGGGGGATTGAACCGCGGTCCCTGTGCTTTGCTAAGCTTGTTCTAAGTAGGTGCTTTAGACCACTGAGCCATCTCACCAGCCCCTCATCCTTCTTCATATTTTACAAAAATAGCTTAAGGTGGTGAACAATGAGGTCACAATCCAATCGCAAAGAACCTTGACAACCAGGCAGAAAGGTATGTTTGTATTTCATCCTGAGGGTAACAGACACTGAACAGAGGGTTAAAGAGTGGTAAAGAGATAGTCAGGGAAACCGAGGAAAATGGCCAGTAATTCCAAGAACGTAGCTGAGAGGGAGGCAAGTATTAAACTGGACTGACTGACAGCACTGTCTCCAGCAGAGCTCAAGCAGCTGGATGCACACTGGACCCATGGAGGACAATTTTTTCCCCCCAAGAAGGTATGAAAGAAAAACTGTGACAACAGAGTTGGTGACAGGAACAGAGGAGATGAAGAGTCATGGGTTAAAGAATAAAGCCAGAACAAAGTCAACAGACTGGAAGCACATTAATGGAGAAACAGCAATTTCAAGCTACTGGGCTAACAGCTTTAAGAGAAATGAGACAGGATAAGCAGGAAGAGGCAGAACAATGAATAGCAAGAATTCTGAGGATGGCAAGGGCTAGGGCATGAACAAATGGCTGAACTGTGAATGTGTGAAGTCTGAAATTCTGGGTAGGTTCTATATACATGTTAAAGGGAGCCATAGCAATAGGTGGGCCCAAGTTCAAAGGGAAGAGGAACGATTAGGAAATTGGTAAGCAGGAAGATAAAGACTGGCCCTGAAGTAGATGAGGCTTGGGAGAATGAGAGGGCTCCACTTTGCAAAGAAGCATTGTAAGAGAGGATTTCAGCTAGAGTAGAAGCTGGAGGGAATAGCTAACAGCAATGGACAACATCAAGGGCAGTCTGTTACTTTGGGAGGAGAAGTTTCAAGTGGCTGAGGAGAAGGTTCAAAGTTGACGTGGGAGACAGTGCAAAGCTATATGAAGAAACATAGTCAAGAAGGGATGGCTGGCCCACTGGGTCTATATCTGGGACCCTAAAATGGACAAGCATAAGCTGCAGGAAGTGTGTCTTTATCCCTGGTTAAAAAGGGACATTTTTAGAAAGAGTCAAAATGCAACATGGTGGCCAAAACAGGCCATTTTTCTCATTGAAATTAATTCATAGTCACTGCTGTCTTGGTATATGTTTTACGAGAAATAAATGTCTACCTCAACTAACCTATAAATTTAAAGGTACTTGTGCCTTTGTCAAGTTCTTGTGCCAAAACTACGAATTATGTCAACTGCACTCTTCTGCTATGACAATAAGCCTACCTTAGTAGAAAGTGACACGACAACCTAAGCCGGCCACTTCGAAGGGCTCCTAGCTCATAGTCATCTGTTCCATATCCTGGGTCAGGCTTACTTACAGCAACGTAACATTTATTTAGTGAACAAGAAGCATGTGCCAGAGATACTCTAGGTAAATAATCATCACACCCTAAAAAGCGGGTATTATCCCATCTTAGCAAAAATATCACTCAGTGGTATTTAGTATATATGAGTAACAGCCAATGAGGGACAGAGTAGGGCCCATTATTCCTGATTCTGAGCTACACCTTCCTAGTGTAACACTAAGTACTTTTTTTTTTTTTTTTTGCGGAGCTGGGGATTGAACTCAGGCCCTTGCACTTGTCAGGGAAGTGCTTATTCCACTGAGCCATCTCCCCAGCCCCGCTAACTACTTTTAAAATGGCTAGGGCCTTGTATCTGTATGGCTTCATCTTCCTGTTACTTTTTCCTTTTTGTTCCAGTTCTTAAAGATCACCATCTACAGATGAGTAATCTTACATGAGTAATCTTACCTACCAGAAGTCAACACCATGGGCCTAACACATCTGGGTCTCAAAACTAAGCCAGGGTCCTGCCATTGTGGGAATTCATTTAAAAGGCTCCAT